AGAACTGAATTTTAAATTTTATTTCTTTTTAATTAATTTAAATTCAAATAACCACATGTAACTAGTGACTAGCATGTTAGAGCAGCACTAGACAACATTGCAAAGATCAGTTGAAGGAGAAATAGAACTGCCTTTTGTCTATATTACTTGTGCTTTATATTTCACTTTCCAAACATGCATGCTTTCTTCTTCCACCTATCTTCATCTTTTACCTTTTATTTTTCACATCTGGAAACTTAAGATTCAATTCAACTCCCATCTTTGCCGTAAGCAGCATTCCTCAGTTGGTCCCAATCCACATGTCTTCCAGTTCTTTGAAACTTTTATGAACAGGTGGTTAACATTGCATTACCTAGCACTTATTATTCCTCTAACCTAACTTGTGTTAGGTTATGTTGTAACTCCCCAGGAGTACAACGTAAGGATCTGTGTGGTTTTTAAATTCTGTGCCCCTCCTAAGCATTTAGCCTATCAATTAGAATACTGTAAACATTACATTATGGACTGAATATTCGTGTTCCCCCAAAATTCATATATTGAAATATAACCCCCAGTGTGATAATATTTGGAGGTGGGACCATTGGGAGGTAATTAGGTCATGAGAATGGAGCCCTCGTTAATAAGATTAGTGCCTTTATAAGAAGAGGTGAGAGAGCTAGCTCACTGTCTTTCTGCTATGTGAAGATACAATGAGAAGCTGGCAGTCTCCACCCAGAGGAGGATCTCACCAGAACACATCCATGCTGGCACCTTGATCTCAGACTTCCAGCCTCCAGAACTGGGAGAAATAAATTTCTGTTGTTTATAAGCCACCCAGTGTGTGGTACTTTGTTATAGCAGTGTGGATGGACTAAGTCACACCTACTAACCCTGTGTTTGATTGATTACTTGTCCTTTACCTCTCTGATTCATTCCTCTTGCCTTCCAGTCCCCGCCCACCACCAATCTCCTGATGTTGCCTGAAAATAACAAAGTGACCAATAAACCCACAGCTAACATCATACTCCGTGGGGAAAATGGGCTAAAGCCATTCCCCTGAAGATCAGGAACAAGACAAGTCTGTCCACTTTCTCCACTTTTATTCAACATAGTTCTGGAAGTTCTAGCCACAGCAATCAGACAACAAAAAGAAATAAAAGGCAACCAAATCGGTAAAGAGGAAGTAAAATTGTCATTATATGCAGATGACATGATACTATATAGAGAGAACCCCNTTTTACTTTACTTTTTTACAAAGATTGTAAGAGCCTCATTGTGTTCAAGAATTGACTTGGGGTAACCGGTTGGCTCAGTTGGTTAGAATGTGGTGCTGATAACACCAGGGTTGCCGGTTTGATCCCCTCATGTGCCACTGAGAGCTGCACCCTCCTTAAAAAAGTCAACCATGCCATTGTAGCGTGAAAGCAATGTGTAACCAGTGACCATGGCTGCTCCCCAATAAAAGTAAAAAAAAAAAGAATCGACCTAATAAATGTGTAAATGTTATAAATTTGAACATATAAAGTAACTTGTATTATTGAAGTGCTATCCATATCAATTTTTATATTAGGTTTTCTTATAAAATAAAAGCCCCAAGCTACTTCATTGTCAAGTTCTCTGAACATAACACAAACCAAAGACACACCAATACATGCCTAATTTCACTTGGAAAAGCCTCCTTTTAAGATAAAAGTTCACACTTCAATCCACTGTGTCAGTTTTTGTAGAGGTAGAATTTGAGCTCAGCATTGTGAGACACAAGTAAGTTTGTCTTTAAGGAAGGAGCTACCAAGGGCACTGAAAAAAGCAAAAGCATATCAGTGAATAGTAAATGGCAGGGGCAAAACCTGGAAAGAGCCTGCCTGGACTGAGTAAAGAGAAAAAAAGAGATGCAAATAAGCACTGGAGTTAGGGAGCAGAACAGACAAGTCATAAGTCAGGAAACAATGTAGTGAGACTGGAGAAATTGATACAGCACATAAGAAAATGACATTCCTTTTAACACTAACCACTAAATCTTCCTGCTGTGGCTCTGTCCCCCATGTTTCACTTTTGCCTTGGAATCACCTAAGAAGGCTATAGGAACTAGGGTCCACATCAGGAATCTTATACTCCACCCTTTAAGATGCGGGGGCTCGGGGTGAGTGGGTAGGTGTGTGTTTTCTTTTCTTTTTTTTTTTTTTTCATCACAGCTTCAAAGGAATTTTATTGAACAAAACAAAAAATAAATCCAGAGTTGAAGAAAT